GCCTGGCTCTTTGTGGTATATTTCAAGCCAACTGAATCACCTTAATTTTGCCTCAGAGACTTTTTGAATGCCAGTTTCATGTCCCTTGAGACTACATTAAGAGGGTCCCAAACCAATTTTAAGTAGGAACCACGGCCGTTAAAATGACCATGAAGAATCAGCAACAAACTTAGTATACACTAAGAGAAAGGTTTGGCTGTTGTTATACTTGACCTCCCTCTTCCAATGCACTGAGTATGGCAAGGCCACCTAACTGAGGACAGTCCCCAGGGATACTTAGTCAAAGTAGAAATGGCCAAACATTTCTGACACTTACATTATCACAGAGACCAAGGCTGTTAAGAGGCTGCACACACCCTCCTCTATTTTGTCACCACCATAAATAATTCAGATTGAAAACCCTCACTGCTGAATAATGCTTTTATTTCTGATAGGTTTTTCCTACCCGTTGGGGAGCTGAATAACCAAGGTGACAGAGGATGGACACTTAACCCTTCACTGAGGAGGCCAGTGACAAGAATTCTGGTCCAGGGTCGTCTGGAGACAGATGCTCTCTGCAGAATGCACCTGTGCCATCCTTCTGGTAATAGACTAGAAACTTAGTCTCAATTCACCTGTATCATGAAGGCATTGCATAAAATTAATGGCCACTCTAACTAGAAGGTCCTTTCTGCATCTTAGTGGGATGGGTTAAATACAAATTTTGATGTGCCTTGGAAGAAATAGTGCAGTAAAATGACCCAATGTGGTTTGAGGTCTCCAACTGGGAGCCTAGGAGCTTCTGTGAGGATAGGAGGAATGGCTCCTGTCCAGCCAGTGCCTTCCTTGGTCACCTTCTTAGTCTGGCTGTGCCCAGGGAGCCCGCTAGCTTCGGGTTTCCAGCAAAGTGCAAACTTCTTTGATTTATGCCCTGAGTCCGGCCTTGAGCCTGGCAGGAGACATTTGGAATAAAAGATAACTTTCTGCCTCCTGGTTCTTAGACATGTCTTTTTATGATCCAGGGAGTAGGATGCTGGTAGCAGCTTATTTGTCCAAATAAAACACCTGTCTTCCATTCGGTTCTTTTTGGAGGACCACCAGACAGTGGTCCATTTGTCATGTGAAACTGGAGACAGGGGCAGGTGGGGAGAAAGACGATGGCTAACACACACCTTTGTCTCTGCAAATAAAACACCCAGAAACTTCTGCAAATACCGGGCTTGGCTAAGGCCGCGGGTAAATCACAGTTCACTCAAGTTCACATTTCTGGCTTGCAGGAGAGCAAACAGATGCTTTTCAAAGCTGAACTTAAAATATGTTTTTGCTCCCAGATGATAATTTTTTTTTTGTCTGGATTTAGGAATTCTTACTCAGGGAAGTGGGATATAGGCTAGGGATGGAGGAGCCTTCACCACAGGACTTCCAGGGAGCTCTTTTTCTCCTGAGGAAACAGAAGATCAAGTTCAAACACAAGAGGAAAAAGCAGAGAAGCTATCTAGATTCTCCCCACAGTACATGCATCCCGGGAGTCAGGTTGCAAATCAGGCAGAACTCGAATGTTCTTTAAGGAAATGTTCCCTATTTTTGTGTGCCTTGGCAAACTCAGGGGAGAATGCAAGGGTTGCCATGGTAACTTTTTTTTTTTAATTTCTTTCTTACGGATGGGTACATGGGACTCACACACGTTCTGGAAGCCACTGCCATATTTCCAGCGTTGAGTACTGTTTGGGGCTCAGTCGGAAATGGTGGGAGAAAGCTTCTTTGGGGACCAGAGACTTTTTTCTCCTTCTCTTCCAAGACTGACAACTAATGTGGTCTTGGGCATGGGGACGGGGTACCTATTCTTGTAAGAAGGAGTCAAGTTGGGGGTGACAGAAGCCACCCCCTGGCTGGCAGCCCCTGTCAGACTTCTAGTCCTTGTGTCTAACAGGACAGCTTTGCCCTCCCCTTTTAGATCTGTGGTGACATGGACCTCCTTGGGTGTGGGGACCAGGATTGTTTGGAACCTTGCCTCAAAGCCACTGCTGACCAGTGGGGAGTCCTGACATAGGGTTTGTTTGAGGGGGGCTAGGGAGGGGCTTCCTGAGAAACCTAGCATCCTAGGTACATCTAAGACCAGCCACACAAGCAAAGAAACAAGGGTCCAAGTCACAGCTCCAGACTCTGACCTCCAAAGTCTACAGAATCACACACTGCGCCAGACACTGGGCGCTCTTGTGAGGTGACTGTGGTGGGAAGTTAACCTGTGGGCCACCAAAGAGAATTATGGCATCCTTCTCCCTCTCTCTCCCTAAAAACACCCCATCAGGATTTTCATGACTTCATTCCAGATCAATGGGAGAGAGAGTAGAGTGGTCCTTTTAAAAGAAGGGGTGCTATGTCCTTGTAGGGATCAAGCTTTAACCCCAATCCTGCACAATGGCTTCTCTTGCTGCTGTAGAAATCTCACCCTTTGGGGTCAGTCTTCTCCAGTGGGAGGCAAAAGAACCTCCTAGAAGGAAGCCATTAAAGACATCCTTATTGCCTGCCCTGATAACTACGATCTGCTATGGCTTTGCACATCCCTCTCATGGGACAGGGGTCCTTTAAGAGTCACCCCTAGGTTTCTGTGCAGACTATTTAGCGTCCCGTACTTCTGCTCCCACAGGGATGTGGTTTAGGGTTAGGGAAACATGCGCCCATGGGATGCGCTGTGCCTTCCCCACTCACCCAGCAGGGAGAGGACAGACATCCCTGGGGAGAAATTGAAGGGGAAGTTGTCAGATGTATCATCGTTCAGCTCTTGGACCTATTTTAGTTTGGGGTTCCAATCCTAAGAGGGGTGGTGACTCAGCCAAGGGGACAGACAGAAAGGGCAGGCATGCAGTGGGGCAGGTGACAGGGCAAGGCAGGTAGGGGGGAAAGGCTGGCCAGTGCCTTCCTTGGCTGACCTGGGTAATCCAGACTCCAGGTGATTTCATGGTTCTATGAGAGTGTGACTCTCCATCTTTTGGGCTCTGGGGAGAGCCACCTGCTCCCCTTCCGTGCTATGGCTCAAACCCTAGTTTGACATGTGCTCTTCATGAATATTGACATTACTCTCCACAGTGGGAAAGTCTCTGCAGCTGATCCTGTCCTCCTGCAGGGGACAGTTTGCAGATGTGAACTGAAGGAAGACCCTATGAGGAGACCTTGGGCACTCCAAGTCTAAGAAGGCAGGAGGGAGAGACAGAGGGGGAGAGAAAAAGAGGGAGACAGAGAGAGACAGCTATATATATATAGAAAGAGAGGAAGGGAGAGAGAGGAAGAGAGAGAGACAGAGACAGACGAAGGCGGGAGGGAAGAAGAGAGAGAGAGGGAGGGAAGAAAGGAAGGAGGGAGAGAGAAACAGAAGGGGAGGAGAAAGAGAGACAGAGACAGAGGGACTTGGAGAGGGATTCAGGAACACACACGTGCACCAAAAAAAGCTACCAGTTGTGGGGTGGGGGGTAGAGCAAAGATAACGGTGCCTCAATACGACAAGAAAAGGGGGAAGGGAGGTGGGAGACGCACGTGGCTTTAGGGTGCCACGTATGCAATTCCATCACAGAGATAAAGACCTGAGTTCGGAAAAGTACAAAGGGAAGTAGGTCATCCAGAGGGGACTGGCTAATCTGGCTGTGCAAGCTCAATTAATAGAAGAGGCTGGTATCGTATCTGGGAAATGTCACGATATGAGAGACCTGTCGTGGTTCTGAAGATGGACCACTGCCATCAGTTCCCTTTCCAAACAGAAGTGTTCTGCAGGTGTAGGAGTCCATGACCTGTCACCTCAGCGAAGCTCGTGAACACCTTTAAAGAACAAAATGAGTCCCTTGCAGAATTTCAGTGCCAGAAGACGTAACATACAGTAGTTTGAGCTTTCCATCACTCTGTTTTGGAGTATATTCTCTCTTAAGCTGGGGAAGGCTGGCAAAGCAAAAAGACGAGGACAGGGAACCATGTGCATGAGTCCTAACTTACAGAGGTCATCTAGCATGGACACCCTGAAGGGTGGTGTTAACTCTGGATGCCTGGGGTGTGGGCTGCCAACGCCTCCTCGCCACCAGGCTGGGTCCCACCTCCCCCCCCAATCTTCTTCAGCTCCTGCCCCTAAGAAGCAGGGATGAGCATCAGAGGGAAGTCAAGCTCACATCCAGAGTAAGCAATTGGGGAAGAATGGTGCCACACATGAGAAGACAAGTCTATATTGTAGTCTGTCTACATGTCTGTGTTACAGAGATACTCAGGATTATGGGTTTTGTTGTTGTTGTTCCTCTAATAGCAGCACAGGCAGGAAAGCTGGGATGAGAGCTCTCTGCAGATTCTGAAATGCTGGTGCAGGATGGGTTTGAGGAACAGAAAGCCAGGTGCCAAGAAAACCAACTAGGAGCGCCCCAACTCTGCTTATCAAGAGAAGGCAGTAAGAACGGAAGCGATGGGGGTGCAGATGCAGACTGCCAGGGGCTGCACCCCACTTAATGGCTTTCCCCTCATGCCTTGGGTGGGGGATCTCCTCTGGGTGGAAGAAGGACGCCAGGGCAAGATGAAAGCTCTCCACTTCTGAAGCAACTCAGAAGTCAACCTCAGTGTAGTCTCTGTGGACCCGTGAGTGAGAAGAATTGGGGGTGGGTGGGTGGAGGTAACCGCTGTTCACTCCCCTCTCTCTCTTTCTCTCTGCTTCTCACTCCCTGGTGCCACCATTACCCACTTGGATGGCCACCGGAGTTCCAAGATGAAAATGAAGTGTGTCTTCAGAGTGATGACTGACTGGCGGTTGAAGCAAGAATTCAGAACTCCTGGATAATTATTGCATTAGGAAACCAAACCATTAAAGCATTGAAGTCAGCCCTTTGGTGTCCCTGTCAAGGAGAGGAAATGGATTGGCAACCCCAAGAGCAGGACTTGGGTTCTGAGCTTGTACCATCGTCTGCATCCGTCCATAGGTCCAGGTGTGCTGTATGAGGTCAGCGCCCGCGGCCGTGCACATGCGTGGTGAGGGCGACACAGCCAGGAGGCCACAGCTACTCCATGCCACTCCGCAGGATCTGGTTGGCAGCAATCAGCATGACACTTATGATGAAGGCCATGGCAAAGGCGCAAATGAGGCTTTTGCGGACGCAGGTCTGGCGGTTCTGTTTCTGGGAATGCACTGGAGTGAGCAGAGGGCAGAGAGAGAGAGAGAGAGAGAGAGAGAGAAGGAGGGTTGGGAAGAGAGAGAAAAGAAAAATGACAAAGTGAGACACATGGCTTGTCTTCAACAAGCATCCGATAGGACAAATGCTGGTTGAACCAAGTGGACAAGAACTTAGGGGCCTCAGACATCAGTGGTAAAACACCAGTAACAGAATCCACCATGGATACAACATGCAGAGCTGGCAGAAGCTCCCAGATACAATACAGCCGAGTGTCCTGTCTGTGTGTTTCATACAAGACACCATCCAGCCACGGCTGGCTCCCAATTTGCAGCGATATATTTGGAGTGAAGTTTGGTTGCTATTCTTATGCTTTTGTGCAGACCTGGGAGCAACTTACCTATCATGGCATTGGTTTGGGGCAGCTGCTGGTCAAATGGATTCTAAGTGGCTTTTTTTTGTTTTGGTGGCACTGGGGTTTGAACTCAGGACCTTGCACTTGCTAGGCAGGGGCTCTACCACCTGAGCCACACCCCCAGCCCTTTTTGCTTTTGTTATTTTTCAAATAGGGTCTTGAGTTTATGCCCAGGGCTGGCCTGGACCCAGACCTCCTATTTTTGATTCCCATGTAGCTGGAGTGGCAGGGGTGCACCATTGTGCCCAGCTTTTATTGGCTGAGATGGGGATGGGGTCATGATAACCTTTTCCCCAGAATCAAGATCCTCCCAATCTCTACCTCCTTACCAGCTGAGATTACACATGTGATCCACCACACCCAAGCTAGTGCCATCAGTTTTAAAGGTTCACAAGAAGTCATTCATGGGTCTCAAAACAGCATTAATTACTGGGTTACTAACACGAGTTACAATCAGAGAAATGTAAAAAAAGCAAGAAACAAAAGCAGTGGTGACATGTACTAGGAGACGGTTGCTTTGCCAGGCATTGCTTTTCTGAAGTTCTCCCCTACAGCCAGAGTCTCTTCCCTCCCCATGTCCTTTCCTGTCCACCTCTACCCCTCTCCCTCCCTATCCCATCTCTACCTTTGCACATGGTTTACCACATAGTTTTCATATTTGTGCCCAGGAGGAAGCATCTATACCAGAACTCACTTGACCAAACCAGCAACCTGGGATGTATGGGTCAGTGTTTTGAGGCTATGACAGAATACCTGAGGCAAACAACTTATAAAAGGAGAAATTTAATCCATTATCCTCTGGGTCTACTGTTATGGACTGTGGTAAGCAGAACAATATTATGTCAGGAGGGGGGAGTGGAGCAAAGATGCTTACTTCATGGTGTCCAGAAAGGGGCAGGGGAGAGAGAGAGAGAGAGAACCAGAAGGCTCGGGGAGGAGGCATGCCCTTTAAGGACCCCTGAGACTCACTTCCTCCAACCACAGCCCACCTCCCAAAGGCCCATTAAGCTATGAGCTCACCCACTGGTTAATGCATTGATCCAATCACCTTCCAGGGATTGGGTCCACTGGCTGGGGCCACACAGGAGCCCCCTTTGGGAACATTTTAGAGCCAAACCCCAGTACTGGACACTGATACAAGTGGGGCTCTCTACCTCACTGCACCACTACTGGGTAGAGCCTGGCGATGTGTATTTTAAGTTCTCCAGGGGGCTAGGCAATTTCCAGAGTTGTGATTCAGTAGACTGTGGTGGAGTTTCTGAGTTGCTGGGGGCAAGAGAGGAGCCATGTGAGTGTGTGCGTGCGTGCGTGCGTGTGTGTGTGTGTGTCCGGGTTGTTGGGGTTGTTTAAAGATGGCTCTTTAAATTTAGCCATTAAAGGTTGGCGCTGACAGAGTGGCTGAAGCAGTATGAGTGCCTCAGCAAGTGTGAGGCGCTGAGTTCAAACCTCAGTGCTGCCAAAAAAATAAAAATATTCATTTCAAATCACAGGAAATAAAAACTAGAATAAAACAAATAGACAATAATAAAGATCAGCAAAGCCAGGGGTGTGTGTGTGGTGACTGATGCCTGGAATCTGAGCACATGGGAGACTGAGGCAGGAGGATTGAAAGTTCAAAGCCAGCCAGGGCTACACAGCAATAACCCATCCCAAAATATAAAAAAACTAGACCCCCCCAAACACCAGCAAAACCCAAACAAACACCAAAAGAAAATCTGCAAAAGATATTTGTCTAGCATGTGCAAAGCCCTCGGTTAGATTCCTAGCACCAAAAAAAAATTAGCCATAGAAATGGTCAAGGTTGGTCCACAGGTCTTTCAAGAGCATACAAGATGTCAATCTGAAGTTCAAGTTCAATCTTTTCTTTGGCATGCAGTGGTTACTGAGATTTCAGGAAGCAGCAGGAAGCCGCCAAAAAAACCAGAGCGGTCCCTGAGACAAGGGGACGTCTACAAATTACATCAAACAGGAAGCCTCTCCGGCACCCTGCACTTTGCAGAGAGCCCCCAGCAGCCCTCCCCAGCACTCCTGGATCATTTCCACTGTCCTGTCTTAGGTCTCCTTGTCATCTTTAATCCTCCCGGACCCACTGAGCTTGTGCCTCCCTTAGGTGACTTAAAAGTACTCTGTGGATCAACTCTCCTCTTGCTGATTAGGTCTGGGTCTTAAGTTCTTAGCCAGAGGAAGAAAATTTCCTCGGCGCCAAGATGCGTTTCCCTCAGGAGTGGGCAAACGTAAAAAAGACGCTGAGCCTTAGGAAGGAAAAAGAAGGCAGCACTGAAGAAGAAGATGGAGCAGAAAATGAGATGGAGGCATGGATGTGGCGTGTCACAACACTTTCTGAGGCTGGCTAAGGTATTCTGCACATGAACACTTCTGAAGCAGTCACTTCTCCTTCCACCCTGAGGGTGTCAGGGAGAGAAAAGGGCGAGGCTGGGCTGAGGGACAAGCCTTCTGCAGAAGCCCTGCTTTGTGAAGGACAATCGGGAAACAAGGATTGTTCCTTGGAGTAGTTGACTACACCTTTGATCTCGAAACCCTTCAGGGCAGAGAGAAAGAAGACAATGTCCTATGAGCACAGGGGACGTCTAGCTCACTCCTTGGCCCCAGGAGCTCTGACACAGCTCCTAACTCAAGCTTGAAATTCACAATCTGTGCCTTAATGACAATTGTTGGGCCCCCGAATGTTGGCATCCCCATAAATTTTGTGGGGCAGAGCAAAAATTCCAAGAGGGAACTAGAACAAAATCTGTTCTCCTGATGCTCCCCTTTGCAATCGTGTGACCCCAAGAAAACTAATGTCCCCTGCCCCTCAATTTCATCTATAGGATGGGGACGTGGGAAGGGGGAATAAGATCTACCTTGTGAGGATTAGGGCAGAGAAAGGTGCTGGGATATTGTTTGCACCCAACGGATGCCAGACCTGATAGAGAAAGCCCTTAACACCGCATCCAGTTCTAAAAAGGGAAACAGGACTTTTTCTTTTTTTGTGGTACTGGGGTTTGAACTCAGGTCCTACACCTTGAGCCTCTCCCTTTTTTGTAATGGGTGTTTTTCAAGATAGGGTCTCATGAACTATTTGCCCCAGATGGCCTCCAACAGCGATCCTCCTGATCTTTGCCTCCTGGGTAGCCAGAATTGCAGGCAGGACTTTTTGAAAGGCTGGGTTCTACGTGTTCTTCTGGTTTGTTTTGTGTGCACAATGACGTAAGGCAGATCTCACGTAAGGTGGGTGCGGTGCGGGTGCATTGCTTTCCTTTGATCGATACTCAAAACGTCTGCATAAACTCTTAATCTTCTGCTTAACAATGGAAAGAATGTCAGACACTTGCTGTAGTTGGCAGAAGTATGTCAGGGGAGAAGTAGTGGCACTGGGGTTTGAACTCAGGGCCGTGTGCTTGCTAGGCAGGTGCTCTACCACCTGAGCCAGGCTCCCGGTCTTTCTGCTTTAGGTTATTTTTCAGGTGAGGGCTTGCACTTTTTTGCTGAGGTGGCCTCAGGTTGCAATCCTACCTGTGCCTCCCTCATAGCTGGGATTATAAGAATGTGCAACTGAGGCAGGAAATTCAGGGAAAATATCCAAGCCGGGTCATAAGGAACAGGTGGCCTCCTTGTAGATCATGGTGAGAAGAGCAGGTGTTCTAGCTGCACCCAGAACCACCCCAAAACGTCCCTTTTGTGGCAAAAGCTACAGAAACAGCTAACCACAGCTGCCGAGTAAGCAGGACGATGAACTGTAATTGACTTACCTAAATACAGAAAGGAAAGATCTTGTCTCAAAGGAACCCATTGTCCTGGATCCCCTAATTATACCCTAATGAACATGGATGGCATCTCTGCATACAATTTTAACAGTGAATTCGCACGTGCAGTACCCCTGTCACTCAATCTGTCAGTCACCAAAAGCCACTCCTAAGCACCGACCAAATCTCCCCTCCCCCTTGCTAGAGTCTAAATTCCCTCTTGAGCCAAGGCCTGGGGATCTGGAGCTGCAGATGTCACCAGTAACACCACCACACCTAGCTTTGTAGTGAGATGGGGTCTCACTAACTTTTTGCCTGGGCTGCTCTCCCAATCTCTGCCTCCTGGGTAACTGGATTATAGACATGAGCCACTGTACCTGGCCTCTTCCTCTTCCTCCTCGTCCTCCTCCTTCTGTGACACTGGGGTTTTTCTCAGGGTCTTGAGATTGCTAGGCAGGTGCTCTACCACCTGAGCCACCCCTCCATCCCTTTTTGCTTTAGTTGTTTTTTGCATACAGTCTTAATTTTCCCTCAAGGCTGGCCCTGGACCATGGTCCTCCTATATACACCTCCCACTTATCTTGGGTCACGGCACACTCCACCATGCCTGGCATACTTGTTGAGATAGCATCTCATTAACTTTTTGCCCAGGCTGACCTCGAACCATGATCCTCCTGATCTCAGCCTCCCCAGTAGCTGGGATTACAGGTGTGAGCCACCCTGCACAACTCCCATCTGCTTCTGGATAGTCATTTACGGCCCAGCATTCACCACTAAGCACTTGCATTGCATGCTATTTTTGCATCTTTATTTCTCCTCAGTGTCTGTTGTTTATCTCCCTACGAAGATTCTAGGTCAG